TATCTAAAATACAACTTTGTACTCAATATTAGGGCTAATTTAAATGAGACTTGATATCATACAAACATGTTTTATTTTCCCACAAATTTATGTTTCTCTTCAAATAAAAACTAGAATAATTATTATCATGAATGTTATTACAAACCTATGACAAAATAAAAATGCCGATTCTTAGTCTAATTTCGATACGAGTATGAAAACATTAGTAGGTGCGGAAATTATTTCAATCAATGGACTTCAAAGATCCGTTGAATCTTTGAATATCCAATTTTTTTAGAGTCAAAGAATCATTTATATCCATAAGAATACCGAAAATTCGACAGGAATATAAAAAAACTCTCAATTTTTAGTAATTTAAAAAGAAAACCAAAGAAAAAGAATGAACGCATAATTCAAATAAGGAAATTAAGCAAGAAATCTAGTCTTAGGATATAAAACCCTGAAACATGCATGGAATCAATAAAAACAGAAGACAAATATAAAAAATAAAATAAAATAAAAATAAAACAAAAGGGGCAGGGTCATCCCTCTCCACCGGTGGACTTCATAAATTATCAACTTTTATATTACTTTATTTATTCATGTCACTCAACTTTAACGTTTGTTATACCAAGGACGTGTTTGGAAGAGTTTTTGCCTTTTTATAAAAAATCAATTTGTTAGTCTCAGAAGTAATTTTTAAGTTTTCAAAAGTTCTGTCAAAATAAGTGATTGTCTGGAAGAGCTTTTGAGAAATTTTTAGCAATTATTTGACCATTGTACAATGGTCATGGGTCCCATTTTGGCCAAAATTTTTGATTGTCTCAAAATCAAATACTGAAAATGTCACTCTTAACAAAAATGAATTAAATGTTAAGGGGCAAAAAGGTCATTCTGCGTTAAAATGGTCCATAATTACGACTGGCCCTATCTAACATATGCATTATATAACGGTCATAATTTCATTGTAAATGGGAAAAAAGCTCTCCAGGCTAAATCTAAGATTACCCATCCATAATCATATTCATTATCATGGGCGGATTTACTATGGGGGTAGTTTGGTCCTTTGCCCTCACTCTAAATTTAAAATTCAAAATTTTGTAATAGATTTTTCAAAATTTCCCACAAAAATTTCAAAAAAATTCCTTTTAATTTTCAATTTTGCTCCCAGAATTAAAATTTTGTAAAATTTGTTCCGACAACTCTACCCTCTTGGCTCTGCCCCTGTTCATTATATTGGTCAACTCGCTTAACGGGCAGAAAATGGTGAGTAATTACCTGACTCCATGGCCAGGGCCACAGTGTATTCTGTCCATCAACAAATTTGTTGTCCCTGGTCCAATTGATATACAGTCATCTCCTGTTTGGATATTACTTTCTGTGATGGTAACCCTGGTGGAGGACTGGACATGAATCCCATCTGTGTTGGGGCTTAGCTCTGGTGCAATAATCTTCACATTTTGTACTATTACATTGCTGCAACTATTGATTACCAGGTGCATCAGTTGGCTATTAATCGAGGTTAAGCCATCAATTACGACGTCGTTAACCCAGTTGAATGTCATCGACTGCAATTCCCACAATAATAATTCAAGTTTAGTAGAACACTCTGTACAAAACATGTTTTTTATGCAATACTAGGCTATAGGTTCAAGAGTAGTTAAAAACCGAGATGTTCTCGTTACATTTTTTCGAAGGAAATAAATTGTGAAATACCTAAAACACCACTTACGCCTCCTTGACTTAGCCCCTATTTGGTTTTATTACATATCATATTTTCAGTAGATTATGATAAAAGTTGATGAAATGTGTGTTGAAAAGTAGATAAAAAATTGTGGGTCCAATGAAATATACCGTTAATATAATTATTGACTTTAACTTGAATTTTAGCTAAATCAAACACGGGTTTAGGTTCATTTAGAGATTATTCGGTCGTGTTCACATTTTATTGACGAATAATTCTTGAAGGTTTTCGTAATTGAAATTTTTTAATTGTATTAGACTGAACTATAAAAAAAAAAAAATTTCTAAAACTTGTTAAATAATTTTAAGTAAAATTTGAAATTTTATTTTTTAAAAAATAATTTTAGAGATTTGGAATAAAATATAAAAAATTACCATCAGTTTAGTTTAGAAAAGGCATTTAATTTTTACAAGTACCCTTGCTCTTGTTGGGCAGTTCTGTCCGGAGCTTTCGCATTCCCAAAAGCCAGCCCCCTTACCATCAAGAGTTCCACCAATGACTCGAAGCCGGTCCACCTTAATGAATAATATCCAGTAGCCAGGATTTCCTGCCTCGCCGGAATAATCCACGGGCGACTGCGCTACAAGGTTACCATCAATCTGAACATCGATCCGGTCCTTGCATGGACCTTGAAACTTTGCTGCCTTTATCATGTAAGTCCCCTTTGGTACGTAAATGGTCGAGCCTGAGCCTGAGCCAGAACCAGAGTTGCATGCCGATGCCCAAGCCTTTAAGAAAGCGTGTGTTGCATCGGTTTTCCCATCTGGTATTGCACCGAAGTTGATCACATTATATGTCACTGCTTCTGTTATGCACGATAAGAATACAATGGAAAGGAGGAAAGTGCAAGAAAGTGTGATGCTGTCCATTTTATGAGCACTTTGTAATATCCTTACGAGATAAGGCATTTGGGGTACTTACATTTATATGATCACGTTCGTATACAAGTAAAATTTAATTTTAATTTTAATTTTAATTTTTGCTTTGGCTTTTAATAAATTAAGGAATTCACTTTGAGGCATTCTTAGTAATTGAGAAATTACTTCAAATTAAATATAAAAAAAAAAAGAGGAAGGAACGAAGTTCAAATGGATACGCAATGCATAGAGTAAGTCTTGCATATCAACTTGTTTTCTAATTAATCGAACTATCTTAGTCAAATTTTGAGTTATGACATCCTCCTATACATGCATCTATATGTGAGTGCATTAATGTTTGATGGCTACAAATTTTCAAAAAATACAAATGGAAAGAGAGAATTTTGAGATTCTCATTGCACAAGTATCCTAAGTTCTCAAAATTTGATTTAATTAAAAAAAGAAAATTTTAATGATCATTTGGGAAATTTTAAAAAAGTTGATATCAAAGTTAACAATCAATTTTAACCATACAGCTTATGAGATTCACACAATATCAATTTTTCAACCATACATTTTATTAACTTTTATGAAAATTTGTTATCGAAAGCTTTGTCGGTCAAGCCTTAGTTTTTTTTATTAATTATTGTCGAAGTTGTGACCCTAGTTCATAGATTTCCGTAAACAAAGTTAATATTTAGACCATGTTTGATTGTAACGAATTACATGGAAAATGTCACATCCGAAAAAAGCAAATTTTACTTTGGCCGTTTGATTGCAACGTTGAATTGGAAACCGAATTCCAAGGTAAAACCACTTTAAACTGTATTTTCTTTGTTTTCATAGAAAACGAATTCATATGGGTTTGGAGAGTTTTTATTTTCCAACTATTATGGAATTAGAATTCTTTTCCACATTTGCCTATCAAATGGATCCTTAGGAAAAATTTGACAGTATTCTAGAATTTGACTTTTTGACGATAAAATGGACCTGAACCGACTATAAAGGATCCTAATGGAAAGGGAACTTAAATAAAAGTAGGGAGTTAAATGCTACAATACCACAAGTTGTACACTTGCTATATTATCCCTAACTTCGATTAGTTATTCCTAAAAATAGCTATACCAAGTTAGAGAAGAATCTTTTTCATTATCAATTTTATTTTTGTTTTTTGGAAGAAAGAATCTTTCATTTTTATGTAGAGGCGAGCATTTTAACTGAAATCGAACCAGAAGAGGAGGTTTTAGTTCGACTCCAAAAAAGAAACAAAACTGAGAATTGAGAACCGACTTGATCCCAAACGGTTCTTTGTTCTTGAATAGGAACATTCGGTACCCGATTCTGAAATTTAATTTATCCATTTTATTAAAAAAAAATATTTTTTATAATTTATTCACAGCATTTAGCATGAATGGATGAAATCTTGATTCGTTTTGGATTACCTTTTTATATTTATGGAAGAAAGAACCTTTCATTTTTATGGAGCATTTTTTGCAATCACTCACTGCCATAGTCGTCATATGTAACATACATGTGACGATTAGTGATTTGATGCATAAGCAATAAAAAATATCACATTAATGTATTAAATTACTAACTACCACATATATGTCACGTATGGCAACTACGATAGTGAGCGATTGCAAATAACATTATTCATTTCTTTATATAATTTAAAAAAAAGGAAAAGAAACAACATGAATACTCATTTATTTTGTGTTTTCCAATTTTTTTTCTTTTTCCTTCGTCAACCATATATGGATTCTTGAGTAAATAAAACAACAAATAACGATAAAGTATCCAACTCTAATTCTCACACTAAAGCACCATAACTCTACTCTACAAAAAGTTTACTACAAAGAAATAAATTGAATTTACGATCCCACAAAAATAAATGTAAAACATGTTTTCAATGAAAAGATTGTATTGGTGAATTCTTTCAAAAATCTGGTGCTCATATTTTCTGGTCTCTGATAAAATTTTGTGACATTTATCTAATAAAACAGGTCACTATCACAATAAATACATAATTTATGGTCATAGTCACATATTAATCACAAATTACACAAGATCACAATTACAAAGACACTGTGAGTCACAATCTTGTTTTTAGTTACAAATCATACATCTAATATGTAACAAATTATCCAATTAACTGATCACAATTGCTTCCATCTCACCCACCATACTCCACCACTGTCGACACCACCAAAGTCGTCGTCATGGTCGGCGCTGCCTCCACAGATCCATAACCCACCACCATCACCTGCAGCGTGCCACTACTTGCACCTCAATCAACAACACACCACATCAATCTCCAACATACAACCACTACCATCTACAACATTATTTGCTTTTGAATTTGAGAAATATTGAGCTGGAGTTGGGTGTTTATAGACTGTGGTGGTAGGGGTGGTGGCACGTGACGGTGGGTGAATGGTGAGGGTGGAACTTCATGTGAATATGTGACTTGGGGAAATAATGGAATTTCTAAAAAAAGCTTGATATGGGCTCAAAATTCACTGAAGTCCATTAAAAACCTTCCATTAAGGAAAATATTTATAAATCTAAGTTTATTTATTTTCTATTTACAAAGTTAGATTTATTTTTTATTTTTTATTTTTGTTGGTGATCTATTAAAAAGTTATATCATTTTATCATAACGGCAAGAAATTCATCAATATCCAATGAAATCTATTAAAATTCTATAAATAGGATTATGTTAAAATCTTATATATTCCGTGGAACTTTATTCAACTTCATTAAAATAGATGAGAATCCATAAATCTTAAGAAACCCTTAAACTCTGAATAGAGGACATTCTAACAAATCCAAGTAAATGATAAAATCAGATTAAAGTGCTATTTAAGCCAGTGCTAGATCGGATATAGTAATTCTATTTAGCAATATCAATGCTAAACACCAGTTTATATAGCATACAAGTGTCATTAATTAATAGACCACCTTAAAAAAAGAATAACATTTAAGATATCACATCACTCACATGCCATATTGTTAGGAATTCGAGAAGGCGATATGACGCGATATGAAGTATAGATCGATATTGTTAGTTATTCGAGAAGGCGATATGACACGATATGAAGTATAGATCGCACTAAGTAATAAACAAGAACAAGATTTAAAGGAAAATAAACAAGAAGATGAAATTGGCAGAGGAACCAAATATCTTATTAATAACAACCAATGGAGAGAAAATAAAACTTCTACATTTTCTACTATTTAAACAAAATGAAGAGTCTACTATTTATAGGAGACATGTTCAAAAGATCCGCCTCATTTAACAAGTTCTTTGTGATGTCTGCTACACCCGAAGTCTTTGATTGCTTCCTACGATTTGCAGCTGAATTATCCTTACCCTGCAATTCCTCGCAATTCCTCTTGATTTGTCATTTCTTCTTACAGTAAAAGCAGACCCTATTGTTGAAATCTACCCTCGACTTGCCTCTTCGTCGTTCACCATAAACCATAAGAGCTTCCTCATCTCTGGAACCAACTTCAACCAGATGCTTCATTTTCTTCTTCGAGAACAAGACATCATATACGTCTTCAATGGTGAGTGTGTCACGATTGTATAGAATCGTGTCCCTAAAAGATGAAAACGAACCAGACAGCGAGCACAACAGGATTAAGGCCAAGTCCTCTTCATCATATTTTACGTCTAAAGTCTCCAGATCAGCTACGAACTCATTAAACACAACCAGATGATCTTCCAGTGATCGGCCTTCTGCTATGCGATGAGAATAAAGCCTCTGCTTCAGATACAATTTGATGGTCAGGCTTTTAGTCATGCACAATTGCTCTAGTTTCAACCACAATGCAGCTGGTGTCTTTTCCTTCAAGACGTCCTGAAAAATGTTGGTAGATAGATAAAGATGAATATACGAAAGTGTCTTACGATCCTTCCGTTGATTCTCCTCTATTGCCCAAGTTGTGGGCATCCTATCAAATCCCAACAAGGTATTATCCAAATCCATCTGCGCCAATATAGCTCTCATCTTCACTTGCCATAACGAAATTCTTGTACTGCGATCCAACAGCGGAATATCATACTTCATGGTAGCCATCGATAACAAAAAACCTCAAACAATCAAATCCTTGCTCTGTTAAATTGCTAAACCTTGACTCTGATACTACTTGTTAGGAATTCGAGGAGGCGATATAGAGCAATATGAAGTATAGATCGCACAAACTATTAAACAAGAACAAGATTTAAAGGAAAATAAACAGGAAGATGAAATTGGCAGAGGAATCGAATATCTTATTAATAACAACAAATGGAGAGAAAATACAACTTCTGTCTTTCCTACTATCTAAATTGAATGAAGAGTCTACTATTTATAGGAGACATGTCTAAATCCTAGAATTAACTTAAAATATGGAAACTAGATTAAAAAATCGCGTAAAACCGGAAAAGAAGGAAAAAATATGTGGCCCGTCGCTCGAGCGACAGGCAGGCAGGCGACTAACTCCCTATTCCAATTTTGCTCCTATCGCTCGAGCTATAAGTGGGCGTCAGTCCGCGCTGTCAATTCGCCTTTTTTTTTTTCCTTCTTGGACCCTATTTTGTCATCTTCAAACCCAATACTCCACAACGCGAAACCCTAGACCCAATTTGGACCAAATTTGGGTCACAAAACCCAACACATTTAGGCTGGTGTTATATAACTAACGACTCTAGATAACATTATTTTTATAGGATATGGTAAGCTAAATTTCACAAGAGAACTTAAAAGCATGGTGCTACTCGAAGCTCAATTGCCACGTGGACGGTCGAATCTAATTATTCTTTGAAGTGTATATTGTAGCCTTTTATATGTTTTATTTATTCTTCTATGATTAACTCGATGTCTTTGTAATGGAAATAGTACTTCTTTGTTTATTATATTTAAGATATTCCTTTCTTTTCCACTTGACGTAAATTTTGGAGATAAGGCCATTACATCGTCCTTCCACTTGTATTATGAGAAATGCTGTCGGCGTGTCAACCTCGA